AGGATAAGAAGGATTATAGGTCTCTGGTTGGGGTTATTGGTCAGGGGAAATGAAAAAGAACAAAATCCTCAGCTTCCATAGCTGAATGTCAATAATACCTAGAATTTTAAAAAACAAAAACAAAGAATAACAACACATGCTATTTAGGATGTGGAGGCAAATACCAAAATAACTGGCTATAAGAGGTGAAAGCAGCTGCTTTCTGAGCAGGGAGAAATAGAAAGAGGGTAATAGGGAACTGCTGTTTTTCATAACAAACCTTGCTAGAACTATGTGATCCTTGTATACACATATAACTTTGAATTTCAAAAAATTTAAGATGTTATAGTTATGATTATATGTGTGTGTGTGTGTGTGTGTGTGTGTGTGTGTGTGTGTGTGTGTGTGATTTGTGGCAAAATAAGTCTATATTTTTTATGGCTTTTTCCTATCCCATTTTTCTATCCCTCAATACTGAATATATGGAGCAAAGGAAAGTATCTGTTATGATGTATAGATTTTGCAGTTCTTCCATTCAGTCACTAGACATTGAAATCTGAAGAGAATCCAAGAAAATAATATAGAGCTCTTTGAAAAAGTAGAGATGTGAAGCCAATAAAGAACATTTTTCTAAGGATTATTTTCTATTTTAGAATGTAAAAGTGTTACTATTAATAAAACTCTCCCTGCAGTACCTGCTTTCAGAACCATCTATTTAATGTATAAAATGTAATTTTTCCCTTGCCTTAAACCTTCTCCTTCCTTCTGTTATTTGTCTATTTTATAATAGACAAAATAAAACCATCTCATGGTTCCATTAATATTAAGTTAAACATTTACCTGAATAGTTGAGGAAAATTTACTTTGCCTCAGTTATTCAGTCATTATCCTGGTTTGAGGCCTGAGTTGTGAAGATCATTATATGAATCAAGTAATTTCTCCTCTTCATTTTGCACAGGGAGAAAATGTGATATTAAAGTGTGTCAGTCTGTAAATCTTTAAAGGATCTGCATGAAATGATATTCAAGGTAAACTGATATTGAGGAGTCTTTGCATTTTCTTTCCATTGCACAACTTCCATTTAGTTACTTAAATGACTCAAACAATTTAATTGAACCTTGAGAAAGTCTTTTCCATAGAAGAGCATTAAACATTCATCATTTCACACTGCCAAATAATTAATGAAGAGTTAAAGCAATGCTCCTAGGGAAGGTTAGTGACTGTTGAGAATAAAGCATTTTTATAGAATGTTTTTTGCAGGCCAGCTCCAAAGCCACTCCATAAGGTCTTTCCCTCTTGCAGGGCCCTCCTTTGCAATCCCTCCACTTTGTGAGCTTCCATAGTACGGGCTATCACACTGTAACTTACACCATAGTTAGTGTGTCCTTCACCGGTAGGACAGGATATGTATGTTATTTCATCCCAGATCCCCACAGCGCTTAGCATTATCTCTGACACAAAGGAGGAATTCTATCAAGCCTGACTATGAGGCAGAAACAGGTCATGATGACAATGATTCACAAAGTGGGATATTTAAATTTCTTGAGCACCTTATATATATATTATATTAGAACTTTCATGTATATTTTTTTCATTTAAAACTAAAACTAAGGAAGGCTGGGCGCGGTGGCTCACGCCTGTAATCCTAGCACTCTGGAAGGCCGAGGTGGGTGGATTGCTCGAGGTCAGGAGTTCGAAACCAGCCTGAGCAAGAGTGAGACCCCGTCTCTACCATAAATAGAAAGAAATTAATTGGCCAACTAATATATATAGAAAAAATTAGCCGGGCATGGTGGCGCATGCCTGTAGTCCCAGCTACTCGGGAGGCTGAGGCAGAAGGATCGCTGAGCCTAGGAGCTTGAGGTTGCTGTGAGCTAGGCTGACTCCACGGCACTCACTCTAGCCTGGACAACAAAGTGAGACTCTGCCTCAAAAAAAACCAAATAAATAAAAATAAATAAAACTAAGGAAAAAACAACACAAGTAGGGAATACAATCCTTATATTACTTTTGAGAGGGAAGGCTAAAATCTGACTTTTCAGAAACATTTGGCTTTTATTAGGACTGTTGGTATAGTCCTATCTTCAAAGATAAAATTGAAAAGAAAAATTTTACTCTAAGAAGTATGAAAGAAAAATAAAATACTTATTATCAAGAATAGGGATGGGAAGAAAGGGATTTTTGATAACTCTAAGTAGAATTTAAATTTTGAATCCAAGATTACCTTTAAAATGATTTTGGTTAATTTGAAAAATTACATGTTTTTAATTTTACCTTTTTCTAGGGCCTTTTCATAGCCTAAAATTTTAATATGATGAATATATCTGCATAATTGCAATGAACTATATCTACTTTTCAGAGACTTACATTTGCTGGAAATAGCTTGATAAATGGGCAAAATATTTTGAATTAATATATTTTTATTGCATTTATCTGTATGCAGTGTTGCCAATGTAGATTCAGTCAACTTGTAAAAGGTACATAGGACATCTAATTAGCTGTTCTTCCATTTTTTCTTTTACTTGTACAAATAGTTCTTTGTGTTTTCATTCTTCTTTGGTCAATTGCAATTTTTCCGAAATAGCAATTTCCCAAGTTTTCCTTAAATCCCTTGTAAAAATAAGAATCCCTTGTAAAAATAAGGTATCCAAAGCCCACCCTAGAAATACAGAATCAGCATTCGAGGAGAAGGACCCTGAAATATGTAAATAATAGGTGAATTTTATTGTCAGATAAATTTGGAAACTGTTCTAAAACATTCTTCCCTAGGTTCCTTGGGCCATTATTTTAATAAGAGGAAATAAAACATTTTCATTGTAATGTACTAAAAGTGTGGTTGCAGAAAAAGATAATAAGCATTATTTCTATTTTTATTTCTAATATTTTCAATGTTTATTTCGAAGTTCTTTCATCTCAAAACCATGAGTTATCAATTAACATAAGTTTGACATGTGTAGGTATGAATATATATTTGAGTATCTTTAGAATTTTATCTGGAAAAGGTATTTTAAAGTCTATAATTTTCCCATTGTCTTATCACAAACATGTTTTTATTATAGAAGCAAAACTGGTTGCTCAAAATGTTTTTTTCACACTCAAATTTTATTTACAGAGTAAATAATCACTATATTGTTAGGATATGTATTTACAGGACTAGAAAATAAAGATAAAAAAGATATAAATGTCCTTGGGCTTTTGTTTGATGTATTGACATCTTCAGTGTGTGTGCAAACTGCACGAGGAAAGGGGGACTGCCTGAAGTATTTCTAACATCAAGAAGTTAGAACTTTCAGGAACAGAGTGGAGAGAGGAGGGGAGTAGAGTATAAGCTATCCAATTTTTTGTTTTGGTCAAGAGGATACAGAAGGAGCCAAAAGTAGCAACATTTATGAGGTTAAATGCAATTTGGTGGGCATTTTGGCATTTTGGATATAGAGTCTGGATGTGGATGTGGATGTACCCAGTGGTCTCTCAAAACTGGAAAAGATGTTTCTAAAATACCAAGTTGGAGTTTGAGAGGTCTTGGTAAGTTTCTAGTGTCTATAAGACTTAACAACTGTAGGGTGAAAACCGAAGTAGAGTGAGGGATAACTAGTATGTGAGAGGACTAGTGGAAATGGGCTTCGTTAAGATACGTGAGCACTACCAGAAGGTGACGTTTTATTTTCATCACTTCTCTCTAATTATTCTGTCTGTATTAATCACCCCTTCTCCAGTCCTTCTCAGCCATGCTGTCCACCTTCATCTTCTTCATCAAGACACACACATACACATACACACCACTTTTTCAAAGCCTGCTAAATCTTATCAAAAGCATCCTATTCCGTTTCAGTGCTGGTATGCTGAATTTCGTTGTGGAAATTAACTCTCGCCCGACACGGGTAAGCGCTACAGGTGTTCAGCACAGATAAAGAGGGACGGAGCAGGCTCGAGGAAGGTGAAGGAAGAGATGCATCTGGAACAGGGCCTTAAAGGACAGATGCATCTCCCCTGGCAGTGTTTTCCTGTTGAGTTTAAGCTGTGGGGTGGCACTTTCCAGGCATACAAACCAAGACGTGCTGGCAATGCCCCATTGACTCAGGGAAAAGAAGAAAGTTAAAGATAACCTTGAGAAAAGGCAGAAGGTTATATATATAACTGGGGGTACAGGAGACAAGGCTGAAAAGGCAGTTTGGGACAGATACAGAAGGCCTTGAATGCCTTATAAGTCACCGGGACACACACACACCCGCTACTACTGCTCTCCTCCTTGTCCAGGGACAGCAATGCTGGCCGAGTTGCGTCTGTTCCCTTCCCGAAGGAGACAATACAGATTCTCAGCCTTAATCTGAGGTGCTTAAAAAAAAAGCAGCTAATAAATCTCTCACCCCCTAAAGCCCAGCATTACTGTGCTGGAGAAGAACTAATGTGCCTGAGGATTGAACAGTTTACTCTTGGAGAAGAGATTAGCCATCAGAGAACCAGGAAACCCTAAAGAACCTTCCTCTGAGGTCATCAGAACACCTAGATATTATTTCTTTAATCTGAATGTTCTTGCAACATTAAAAACCTGTCCCAATAAAGGGACACAGGGAAAGAGGGGAGAAGGAAGAATATAAACAACAGACAGGGAGAGACAAAAAGAAGAGAGATGAGGGGGACTGGGGAAAGGAGAACCGGAAGTGAATAGGAACATGGCAAGCCGTCTAGTTTCATATTCATCATGGTCACTCTCATGAAGCAATCTCTGTCTTCCTGCATGTTCTAAGGAAAATAATCTTTGAAGAATTGATCTATAGTAAAAGGAAGCCTAATGAACAGTGGAGATACACTTTATCTTTTTCTTTTCTCATCACTTTTATAAGCAGCAGTAGATGTACAGTTTGGGGAGAGACCTTTTCTTAAAGAAAAAAAAAAAGAAAAGAAGGATTTATTTTAAAACGTAAAAGCTAGAAGCTGAATTGTGAGAGGAGCAATGGGCTGATAAAAATAATGTATCTCAGGAAACAAGGCCTGGTCCCATGCCTTCCTGTTGCAGTTGCTTAAGAAACTGAAAACGTATAATCAGGAAACAGTCCATGGGTTCTTTCTTTTGCACCAGAAACTACTGGGGTGAGGGCTGGGCTTGAGAGAAGTGGTTCTTCCTTAGCACATTTGCTTTGTTCTCAGCATATTTGTTTGAACATTCAGACACCATTAGGGAGTGCATAAAGGTACAAACACCATGCAATCGTGCTGCTGTGGGCCACAAGTCTTACAAAATAAAATGCAGATCAGTAACTCCAACTCTCACAAACTGTCATTTATCAGAAGAGACCACAGGAGTCAAAAACGATACACTCTAACAACAGTGATGTCCCCGGAAAGGGAGTACACAAGAGAGAAATTAGCTTTATTATTAGGGTGATGTGTTTTGGGACAATTGATTTTTTTTATCTATAATAATTCACTTGATACCTCTGTTTTAATTTTAGGTTAAAAATACCAGCATGGGTCCATCCTTTGTTTGCCTAGAAGAATCTTTGTATTTGCCAAAAGGACATTGCATAGGAAGTTGGCCAACAGCATGTTGATTAGGACAGGCTGTGCAGAAGGGGCACTTATCTTTAGGTCCCACATGTCCACATGACCCTCTAATATTACAAGTGTGATAGTGCTTCCTCCAAGACACAGCTGTCTTCAGATACATGATACATAGAGCTTTCAATGAGTTAATAAAATTCCAGGGGCAGGGAGATAGCCCACACCTACAGACCCTGCAACTTGAACCTGCTGTGTTTCACTTTTCACACCTTTCTGCAAGAGTGAACTTGCTTACACTACAAAATCAAATACACACAGACACATATACACACACACACACCCCCTGACATGAGAAAAAAACAGTATCATGCCTCATGACTACTTAAATTATGGGTTACTCCATTCTCTATTATTTCTATGGAAATGAAATGTTTTGTTCATAAAATTAAAATTAACAAAGAAATATTTTTCTCCCTTCTCCCTAATTGTCTAATATCTATATGTTGATGCTGCTCATTGACTCTGATAAAATGGAGAAAGCAAGAGTCAGTGGAAGGAACACATGCTATGGTGCCAGAAAAGATCTAGAGTAATGCCAGAAGCCCAGCTCCTACTCACCACTACATTGCCTTAGGTAAGGGTCTTATTTTCTCTAAGTCTCTGTAAGATGACAATAGTGAGAAACACTTGGAGTTCGGTGAGAACCAAATGGTGTAACTGCAGTATCTAGCAAAGTGCCGTGCACAAAGTAGTCATTTAGTGAATATTAACTGAATCTCAGTCTAAATCAATGGGGTGTAAGAGAATACAAAATACATTTAAAAAGAAAACAACTAGGACTATTTTCAGTCTTTAAAGCCATGCTGCTAGTTGAGGAACATGTTTTTTGTGCTGTACCTATTAATCTGGAGATCAATTGTGAAGTTTCTTATATGAGTTTTTCTCAATAATGAATCTTTTCAGCATCCCAGGCTAATATTTGCCCATAATAGACATAAATATTATTCCTTAAATCTATGTTTCCTTCCTTCCTTGTGTACACATCTAAAAGCCCTACCTGTAAGGCTTTCTAAAAGGCATTCTAAAAGTCCTACCTGTTAGTCTTTACATTCTGCCTTACTTCTAAGCATTCACTAATTACTTTTGCAAATTCCTTTCATTAATAAGGAGAAAAATATCCTTAAGCTATGTGTGAACTATGCCAATACCTTTAAAACATTTAAAGCTGAAAGAGACAAGTCGAACATATAATGTCTATATTTTAGAGTGTCTAAATGTCTGTAGTCTTCCTCGGGGCTGGAGAGGAAGCCAGTCCTCAGTTTCAATCAACCATGAAAGATGAAATGATAGTGCAAAGGCTGGTGTCAGCAGACCAGGTGGAGCTGAGTTTCCTATTGCTCTGCTCACTCATTATGACTCTGTAGGTGGGGTTCTTGCTGAGATCACCATGAATAATCCAGGTGAAGACAGACTTGTGGCAAGCAGCATCTTGCTGACCCAAGATAAATTGTGAGCATTTTTCTACTATTTTATGTGAGATAGAGGGAAGCTGACTCCTGAGCATATACCCAGACATATGAGCTCCTAATCACATACTGCTATTTGTTTATAAAGAATAAAATTGGAGAACAGCAATAACTACAACCAAAACCAGATTCTATTTTTAACACAATAGCTGAATAATTTAGCATGGAGATGGGTAAAGGATCTGTACCTATTATCAGTTCTGACTCATGGAGATAGGAGTCAATGTTCTAATGCCTTTGTGTTTCACTTTCCTCACCTATAAAATGAGTGACTACACTTAATGTAGGAGATTTTTATTGCTTGTTTCTAACCATCACCAGTTTTCCTGAGACTGGCCACACTCTGTACTTCCTGGGGTTTGGCTGCATGAGGCAACGCAAGCTTCTCTTGCCTAAGCCAATTCAAGTTGAGTTTCTGACCTTTGAAATCAAATGAGTTCCAACTTACGTGACTCTTCCTAACTCTTCAGAGACAACAGAAAAATATAATTCCTCAGATGAAAAGAGTGACAAATATTTTAAATAGAGTAGTCATAGTTAAATTGCTTTTCATTATTTAATCACTTTCCCGAAAATAATTAGAAATGGCAAGCAATGTGGTTGTTGACTTTGCGTGACAGGGTTCATAACTCATGAGAGGAATAACTGAATATTCGTTAACAACTGACTTCCTCTGTGAAATCTAAGTTTTAAAGCTATTTCAAACAAAATTATTTCCTAATCATCACACTCACTATCTCTTCCTTCAGTTATGTCTCAAGTTAACTTACTCAGCTGTGTTTGTAATCAGAGCCCCTTCTGTTCCTCGGGAAATTTTATCCCAACAGTTGCAAGTTCCCATCAATTAGAACTTGTCTCTTCGTATATTCAACCTCCATCTCTACTACCGGCTTTCCATCTGCTCACATGTATCCTTTTATCTTCCCTGTACTAATAAAAAAAAGCCCCACAACCCCATTCTCTCCATCAGATAAAGATAAAACTGTTTTTCCCTCTGACTCGAATAACCTTCTCAAAAGAGAGTGAGAAGCACAATAGCCTAGTAGTCAAGAGTTGAACAGACTGCCAGGCGCGGTGGCTCACACCTGTAATCCTAGCACTCTGGGAGGCTAAAAAGGGAGGATAGCTTGAGCTCAGGAGTTCAAGACCAGCCTGAGCAAGAGCCTGAGCAAGAGCGAGACCCTGTCTCTATTAAAAATTTAAAAAAAAGTTAGCTGGGCGTGGTGGTGCATGCCTGTAGTCCCAGCTACTTGGGAGGCTGAGGCAGGAGGAGCCCTCGAGCCCAGGAATTTGAGGTTGCTGTGAGTTAGGCTGATGTCACGGCACTTGCCCAGGCAACAGATCTGAGTTCGAATCTATACTTCATTAGTCCCAATATCAGAATGTATTGTAGCAAATTAACTTGTGGAAATTACCATTCAGTCTGTGTCACAATTTGCTTGTCTATAAAATGGGGATAATAATATTTCCACTTACTAAGGTTTCTGTAAGGAAATAATGCATGTGAAGTGTTTAATGGAATACTAGACACATAACCAACCTCCCCAATAAATTTTAGCTATCATCATTATTACTATAACCTCATCTCCATTTCTTCACTGGCTGCTTTTTCCCTTTACATGTTGTAACTTTCCATCTTTTCTTCTTTTATTGTCCCAGCTCAACAATTCTAATCACTAAACCTAACTCTTCTCAGTGGCTCAAGACCTCTTTTCAGCATTTGGCCTAGTAGTTCACCATCTCCTTTTTGAGTCTCACTCCTTCTTTGACTTTTATAGTTCTCTTCCTAGTCATCTAAGTTCTTCTATGTCTCTTGGCTAGCTCTATTTTTGTCTTTAATGCGGGTTTTATGCAGTTGACTCATCCGTCCTCTTCCTCAGTGGAGAGCAAGGCCATGGGGCACTTGGATCTAGAACCCAAGTGCTGGTGATGTATATTGGGTCGGGAGAGGTTTGGATCACAGGGTTCTCACCAGGTTTTGCTTGGTGCCCAAAGATGCACTAAGGGGCTAAAGGGGGTTGTAGAAGGTTGTCAAGGACATGTCTTCATCCATTCAAATCATTAGGCTTAGCCTTGGGCCATATTATAATCAAACGTTATAAAAGAAGATTTAAATTTGATGATATATTGGTCAAAAACTTGACATGCATTTAAATGTTAACTTTTTATAATCATTTATTTAGATTTTTTTTACACTATAGCAACCAGTAATGTAATTGCTGCAAAGTGAATACTGTACATAGGTTACTTCTTGAGTCTATGCCATGATCTGCCATCCCTCTTCCATTACAAATTCCCCTGAAGTTACCCATCCATTTCTGTTATTTTCCAGTGCTCTCTATGATGTTATTTCTTCTTTATGTCTTATTGCAACCTTGATTATTCTCTCCCTAAGGCTCCTTAAAATCAGAACCTGAGAAACCTCACATCCTAGAAAGTTTGGTAATAAAATCAAAGCTACCTAAGCAACTCCCAAGCTTGAGGTTTCAGCATTGCCTGTAATCCTAGAGCACAGATTTTTTTTTTTTTTGAGACAGAGTCTCACTCTGTTGCCCAGGCTAGAGTGCCGTGGCATCAGCCTAGCTCACAGCAACCTCAAACTCCTGGACTCAACAATCCTTCTGCCTCAGCCTCCTGAATAGCTGGGACTACAGGCATGCACCACTATGCCCAGCTAATTGTTTCTATATATAAAAATATATAGAACTAAAAAGTTCGCCAATTAATTTCTTCGTATTTTTAGTAGAGACGGGGCCTTGCTCTTGCTCAGGCTGGTTTCGAACTCCTGACCTTGAGCGATCCTCCTGCCTCGGCCTTCCAGAGTGCTAGGATTATAGGCGTGAGCCACCGCGCCCAGCCAGAGCACAGATATTTTTAATATAAAAAAGCCAAGATTTTTTTTATTTCAGGAAATTATGGAAGTGCAAACATTTTGGTTACATGTTATGACTTTGCCACATCCCAACCATGGTTTGAGATGTGCCCTTTCCCGCACTACAATGCTCACCACATCTATTAGTTGTGAGTTTACCCAACCCCAACTCTCTACCCTCAAAGAATATTACTACCATGTGAGCACCTTAGTGTCGATCAGTCAGTGCCAGTTTGATGGTGAGTACATGTGGTGCCTATTCTTCCATTCTTATGATACCTCACTTCGGAGGATAGGCTCAAGCTCTATCCAGAAAAATATAAGAGGTGCTAGATCACCATCGTTTCTTATAATTGAGTAGTATTCCATTTTATATATATACCATATTTTATTAATCCATTCATGGATTGACGGGCACTTGGGTTGTTTCCACATCTTTGCAATTATGAATTATGCTGCCATAAACATTCGGGTGCAGATGTCTTTATTATAGAATGACTTTTGTTCCTTTGGATAGATGCCTAATAGTGGTATTGCTGGATCAAATGGTAGTTCTACTTGTAGGTCTTTGAGAAAATAAATAAATAATTAAAAATAAAAAAGAGTGTGCAAATTAGTGGCTTTAAAATATTACTGCAAGTCCAGGTGCGGTGGCTCACGCCTGTAATCCTAGCACTCTGGGAGGCCAAGGTAGGCGGATTGCTCGAGTTCGAAACCAGCCTTAGCAAGAGCAAGACCCTGTCTCTACTATAAATAGAAAGAAATTAGTTGGCCAACTAATATATAGAGAAAAAATTAGCCGGGCAGGGTGGCGCATGTCTGTAGTCCCAGCTACTTGGGAGGCTGAGGCAGCAGGATTACTTGAGCCCAGGAGTTTGAGGTTGCTGTGAGCTAAGCTGACGCCACGGCACTCACTCTAGCCTGGGCAACAAAGCAAGACTCTGTCTCAAAAATAATAATAATAATAATAATAATAAATAAAATATTTTTAAAAATAATAAAAAAATAAAATATTGCTGCAAATTTTAAGAATAAAAATTTAAAGGAAAATAAAAAGCCACGATAGATACAATGGCAAACTGGGGGTGGGCATTAGATTAGAACACCAAGAAAGGTTTAATCTCTAATAAAGATCATGGCCACAAATACGCTGAGGCCCAGCTTTGATGAGAAGACATGTAATTTGTGTAAAGCCACAGACATCAAGGGAAAGTGACCTACCAATAGAGAATGCTGGAAAGAGGAGACAAGCACTTATGGCAATTGGTGTGCTCTGAGATTGTTATGTGTTTCTGGCCTCAGATGACTTAGGCAGTTTTAGTTGGGATATTACCTCTTATTTTGCAAGGGGAAAAATGGCATTTTCATGAATTGTGCGATGGCCTATTTGTGCTTGGTCTTTATGGAAGTCAGTACTGAAAAGGAGGCTTGGGCCTCAGCCAAAATGGGAAATTCAAATTCTGTGAAAATCGACAAAGGCACATTTCTTTTTTCATAGGAGAAATTCCCCCCAAGGAACAGGAAGAAACAATCCTCTTATTTGACTGCTCAACAAGGAAGCTTAAAGAAGATACTTGTTCTTTGGAATCTGTCGTCTACAGATGAGAACAGCTAGCTAGGAGGCAAAGAGAATTCTGAGGTGTGGCCAGATTCTAGTCTACATTCTGCCCTAAGCATCATGTGGCCAGGGATGGGGCTAACAGCCCCTTCTTCACAGGTTTATCATTTTCATCAAAAGTGACCTATTCTTCCTTCCCACCCAACAGAGAAACTCTTTCCAATTAGTTCTGAGCCTAGACCTATTTTCCAAGCAACCCTTGCCTGGCTGGAAAGCTTAGCTTATACTGGGAACCATTTGTTTATTGTGCAAACAAAGCCAGGCTATTTGTCTAAGGGCCTGCCTCAGCAGAATAGCAAGCTCTGTTAAACCCTTTGTGGGAGTTCATGGGAGTTAGTACAATTTATGTCCATTTCTTTCTTGGATGAAGGAATTGACCTGTTACCTCTCCCAGTAACTCAGCCCAGTTCAGTCATGTCTAATATATTCACAGCCAAGTCACAGAATATTTTCTCGCAGTTGACCTTGAATTATCTTTTCATTTCAGGCTTAACTGATCATTCCAAATGGATAGCCAGAGCCAAGAGATATATCAGGACTGAGTTAAGTCTGCCTGAGATGGCAATTCATTGCTATGCATTCGCTGATTTATAAAACACATTGTTAAGCACCTACTACTAAAAGCTACTGCATTCCAGGCACTATGCCAGACACTAGGGACACAGAGATGAAAGACGTGGTCCCTGCCTTTGAGCTGTATGTACAAGGCCTAATGGGAGGTACCACAATGTAGTGGTCAAATCACAGACTTTGAGTCAGATCGATGTTCTAATCCTTACCCTGCACATTTTTTTTTAAACTAATTTGCACATAGTAAACCATATAAATATGTGCAAATCCTCTCTAAAGTTCATTTTCCACATCTATAAAATGGATTAATAGTCTTACTTCACTGTGAGAATTAATGACATAAAGCATAGTACCTGGAACATGGTAAGGACTCAATAGATGACATGTATATTATCATTATCATCATCATCGTGGAGACAGCCATGTGAATTAACAATTACAACATTACATGTGATGCAATGGAATGTGAGAAGGTACTAGAAGAACTTAGTCTGGAATGGTGATGAGGAAGATTTATAAGAGGAGGGGAATTGATACCAAGCTGAGCCCAGAAAAATAAAAATAAGTAGCAGGAAGTCAGGCATAGGAAGGACATTCTAGGAATACAGAGTAATAGCATGTACAAAAGCCCAGGGGCAAAAAAAAAAAAAAGAAAAGCAGGCACTTACAGGAAATTGCTAGTAGTTGGATCTTGGGATATATAGGCAGGAGAGCTATCAAAGAAAGGAGCGGCCATGCAGTCATCCTGGCAGTGGCCCCATGGCCCCACACCTTGCCACACTGCCCTTTCCATAAAAGAAACCCACAGGGACCATCGCTCTCCTTAGGCTTTAGAGACGTGAGTGGTTTCTTTCAGTTTTCCATTTCCTCCCATGCCAGCCACTATGGGTGTCATAAGGGAGGAACAGGGCCCTGATGTAAGCTGTAGGCGTTTCCCCTGAGACGTGTGACCCACCCACCAATGCCAGACCAGGCGATAAGTCCATTCGACTCCAGAGAGTGCTCTATCAAGTAGGAAGAGGTCCTTAAAGAGGAAAAGAAGTAACAACTAGTGTTCAGCTACTACAGAAACCATTCCTATGGCCAGTGTTTGTTTTCTTCACTGATGGCTTTGACCTAGATACAACTTGGAAGGAGCAACTTTAAGCTTGCAGCTGTGTCCTATAGGCAGGTTCAGTCAAATCAGGGCAATAGGCACTAATTGAGCATGTGCCTTGTGTCTAGGACTCTGCTAGGCACTGTATAGAAAGACTAAAGCAATGTGCTGAGATTCATAGAGGTCACCTACAGGCCAAGTTCATGGTTACACAGCCAATAGGCATAGTAGCTAGAACATGGTAAGCACTGAATAGATAACATCTATACTATCATTGTCATCATGATCCCAGGGACTGGAAACCCACGTCTGCAGGACTTGAGAGTTCATGCTCTTTCTGATACATTATGATGCCCTTCTGATTTTAAGCATGGCCAATTGGGTTCGGGGACAGCTAGGAAGTGAAGTACAAGCCATGGTCAATCAATACATTACACATCCTGTTGACTTAACATGAATGAGCCTGGCACAATAGAGGTCTTCATCCAATCAATGAAAGGAATATTGAATGGCCTTGCAAAACAGAAAGATGTACAGTATGACCAGGAATCTCTTGGAAAGCTCAGCTGACCCTGAAGCAGTCAAAGTTTGGACCGCCATTCAATCCAGCTCTGGGTATATCAGGAGAAACCGTAACTGACCTTCACATCTGCCCTCAGAGTAAGTAAAATGGTACCTAAGGAGCTCTTCGGCAGGAGGTCCAGTCTACTATGGTGGGCTATGGAAAGCTAAAGGCAATAGCTTTATTTGAGGAGGTTTGTGGGCAATTTTGTTGCCTTGACTAGATTTGGTAATTGGTGTCTGAGATTATTGTGCATCATGTCTTATTGGTGTTGGGGGTGGTGGGGTGGAGCACAAACAGCACAAAGAGGGAGAGGGGGAGACAGAGAGAGAGAGAGATTGAGATTAGTGGAATTCAAAGGCAGAAGACTTCAGTAGATTAGTAAACTTATATCAGAGTAGAAATTCACTTTAGGACCCTTGTGTCATTCGGCTCTTTTGGATTGCATTTTAGGCATCTGTGATAAATATCTGTAGCACTAAAAGAGAATGTATAATCTGTCCACCTTGCCAAGGGACAAAGGGGAGACATGGCTCTAAATACAGTCACTTGTAAGCTGCCTGGAAAAGAAACATCTACAGAATTACACAAAATGGGACTTTGGACCCTCCCCACACATTACCAAGGAGAATTGGTCCCAGAAAAGGAAGCCTAAAAGGAACGGCTGTATTTCAGAGCAAGAACCACAGCTGGCTCACCACAGGGATGTGGGATTAAGACACTCTCCCTGCCTCTGTCTCAGTTTCATACCTACATAATGGAGATAATGACACTTCCCTGTACCTGCCTCACAGGAGTGTTGAGGATAATGCAGCATTTTAGCATGCTTTGAGACCTTTGAAAGATGCCAGTGAAAGTGCCTTTGAAAGTGCTGGGTATGCTTTTACCATTATCATTATTATCTTATCACTTTATCATTACAGAAAATCATGCTGGAGAAGCTTGCTGGTCATTTTGATATCAATCCCTGGCCAAATTTTTCTTCCTACCTAATTTCTTTCCACATTGATGGAAATCAAGCCAATCTAACCATCTGCTCAATCTCCCTAGCTTATCATGAGCAACCTGACCTTTGATCCTCTGCTCACATCCTGTCCCCTGCATACTCTTCCTCTTCCTCTCCATTTTTCTAGACCCAGCCCTTTTCTCAAGGCCCAACTCAGAGTCCCCCTCCTCCATGAAGTGACTGTCCCTTTTTGTTATTCATCACACACAGTCAACGAGCATGTGTCGAGTCCCTGTGTATGGCTGGGCACTGCCGTAGGTACTGAGGACACAGCCCTAGAAAAGGACACTGTCCCTGTGCTCAGGAAGCACATGGTCTCATTCAGTAGCTTTCAGAATTTCTTGATGGTAATCTAGTAAGAAGCATATTTTACATCACAATCCATTGCATACATGTATTTGTGTGTGTGTGTTTATATAAATAAATCTCACAATGTAAAACTTACTCTTGTTATGTATGCTGCCATCTGATCTCTCCTGTTTCTTTTTAAATGATGCTGCTTATGACTCTCTATTATGATTTCACAGCCCCTTAATGAGTCTTGATTTACAGTTTAAAATCACTGATCCCGCTGAGTTACAGACAGGGAAACAGTCACGTAAATGAGTAATTATGGTACGGTGTTAGGAGCAATATTTCCTCTTATTGTCTCCCGTTGTGTCTGTGGGACTCACATTACCTAGTCAGTGAAAGGCTCCCTGAGGGTAGGGACCATGACCTGTAATCTCTTTGTTCCAAGAAAGGTTTGGCCAAGCTTGTAGGGTCCTTGAGCGACAGTCACGTATTAGAAGAGCCGCATCTCTTGTAGGACACATGTCTTGGGCCTGCCTCTCTCTGTGCTTCGCTATTGGCCGTGGACCGGCTGCAGGAAGTGTGGCCTCCCTGTGATCATGGAGGGGGATGCAGAGGACAGTGACTGGGACTGTCAGTCAGTTACACTCCCTGCAGAGGTCTAAGTGGCACATGTTCAAGGCCACCACAAAGATGATGGTATTGCTTTGATAGGTTAGGTTTTCCTTTTCCTTTCCTTTTCAAAGCAAGTGGTAAAAAAAAAAAAAATTCTAGGCGTGTTATTTTCCTGTGGTACCCTGTTGTACGTTCTTCCCCTGGTAGTCCTCTTAGGTTACCTCTGACAGCCGTCACTCCACCATCTAGCTGTCCTGCCATGGGAGAAACTTTAGGAATTTCTTTTGATGCCGTTATTCCAGGTCAGCCTTCCTTAGGGGTGGTGTGGGGGAGGGACCAGTGCACAGGAGGTAGGTAAAGGGAGACCCTGGAGATAAGTTGGAGACTCAAGTGAGTTCTCCACAAAGAGGTGAGATCTTTATAGCACAAACACACAGACTTAAAATGAATTATTCCCTACTAGTGACTCAGTTTTCTTTCTTCCCACCCCTCCTTTATATCCCCTGCAGCCCACGGAGCAGACTTTGGGACCTAGGAGAGGTCGCTCCTCACTTTTTAATTCAAATGCTGCAATTGCTGAAACAAGGATTTCTTACATTTTCAACAGACTGTAAAGTTACTGAAGGAGCTGGAATCAGCTCTATTTCTTCCACTTTATGTCTACTGTCTTGGGAGAGCTGCCCAGGTGGGACACTGCCTGAACACTCTCTGTTGGCCATTCAGGCGGGGAAGGTGGTCTCTCTCCAGCCCACCATGTAAAGGACCTCTCAGTGATCTAAGTGTGACGTAGCTTATTCATAACTGTCAAGGCAAACTGGCAAGATCTGCTTCTGTGACTCCTTTTTTAAACAAAGGAGCATTAACTAACTCACTTTTGTGGCTGGCTAGTTCACAGCTGTTCCTGTTTCAGGCCTAGTTTTCATGACATCACTACTCACAAGTAATTGCTAAAAAGAATGTCACTTAGGTTATAATGGTGATTACACCCAATATTTGCTCAGTATTCTGCTTAGCAGGAACTCAAAGCCCTATACAAGCATAATCTCACTAACCCTCACAACAGTCCTTTAAAAGAAATGAAAAATATTTTGCCAGTCTGGAAAAAGAAGACTATTGCAAATTAAAACTGACTTGATCACTTAATCAAATAATGATGACACATTGTTAGTGATGGTGTAACACTTGGGATATGGAGGAGGCGAGGACTGAGCCTCTGAGTGCATTCCATTCAGGCCCAATCAGGTTGGCAATTGCTAGACTTTGCCTCAGGCCATTTCCAAGATCATCCAACTGAAATATACCTTGTACACTCTTCAACTTGATTTGGGGAGCTTGTTTGAAGGTTCTTGCAGGGAAGTGCAACTACTCATATCCCCTTGCCCAAAGGGTGGTCCTCCTCTATCCGGGAAGGTTGTCCTCCTCAACTGAGCCCACGGCTTTGGGAAGGATGCCCATGGAGCAGTGAGGGAGGAAGGGGACACCTGCCTGGCCAGCCAGATCAGGCGAATCAACTGTGGCGATCAATGGGGTGACGGATGTCGTAGCCAGATCACCCTCACATTTGTTCAACTTGATTTTGTTAGAAAATTGATTCCTCTGTCTTGCTATCTCTGTGCAAGAGTCAGAATTGAAATTGCACTTACCATGTGCATCATTGTGATAGTATTGGGATGGCTTTCAGGACACCAAACTATAGAAGAATGGCTGATATTTTGGATGTGGGTAATACCTACTTCAGAGTGGAGATGTCTAAACTACCTTCTTCTTCCCAAATCTAGACAATACCCTGGTTCACAGTAACTCAAGAAGTTTACAAGGATCCATTTTTAGTCCAATCCAACTAAATATCACCCTGGATTTGTGAGAAATAAAGTGATCTAATGCGACTGAGATAAAAGGCTCTATTCTACTGGTTATTTCCTCAAAGCTAGCTTTCCATATTAGCCACGGACTTCCCCTCAAATATCCCCAGATTTCTACAGGGCTCTTCTTTTTTACACAGGCTGCAGCATGCAGGGTGATTTTCAAACAGCACACTCCAGGGACCTGAGTCTGAGCTAATTTTCATCACACCATCATTTGGGGGATTTGTTTTTGGTTTTGGTTTCATGATTTGGGAACACTTATTTTGGCTTTGTCCAAGTGTCAGTGAAGCCTCTGAAGTTCATCATTCTGCACACTC